GGGCACCCTTGAAGTAAAGATGCTGGTGTCAGTAGGCCTGGAATTTCTCAGTTTTGCCACCTGGGTTAAAAATAGCTTCCTAGCAAAGAATGTGAGGAATGGTAGCTGTGCCAAGTTGTAAGGAACTTCAAAGCAGCTTAACTGGTCCTCCCTTTAACAGGAATGTACAAGCTGACATTCCGGCATCGTCAAAATAGGGCTGCGGAACTTTTTTTTCTTCTTTTTTTTTTTCAGGACAGGAGGGCCAAAATACAGGGAAAGCCATGTCAATATTAAGCTTAATTGAATATCTATCAGATCCATCCATTTTTAGACCTGGCCTTTGTCTAGTACACCATTTCATTCTGAAAAAATTGGTGTGGCCTGCTCTAAAAATATAGCGAGAGAGAGTTTTACACAAAGAGAAGAGAGATGGTGGCAACGTGGACTTTGGGACACCGCCATGGCTCCCCCCACCCCCAACCTTCTCATTTATACGCACATGCGCACACAATTTTATTTCTAATTAAGGTATTTTTTCTTTTAATAGGCATGCTTGTTTATTGCACCCCTGAGTTTTTACACTGCTGCCTGCAATGATTATTAAATTTATCATCCCTCCAGATCTGGTTGTTCAGTAGCCCATCCAATGCCACGGTTAAGCTAGATCCGACAGACAGGTGCCCCCCTCTCACACAGGTGAATATAGTGATAAGGGGAAAGTCAGGCTAAAAGCCTTGCAAGTGATTTTGAACAGCTTACTTGTTCTTAACTCCAGATGCTTCAGTGTAACCGTGGCTCCACACTGCTGGGGCTCCAGAGGCATCTCCGGCAGAAGGCTGGTCAATCTTGAAGCAACGAATATTGCTACAAAGAGAAACAAAAATGCTCAAGCATCCATGCTTCAAAAGAAAAGGAAGCAGTCCCGTTATCTTCTGCTAATCTTATGTCATGTTTGTAAGTTATATTTTAAGTCACTAGGCAAGAATGTATTTATGATAGCAGTGATGAGAGTCCCGGAATAGGCAACAAAAACCCCATCATTTAATAGTTACGGTACTATATTCGTTACTCTGCTTTTCTAAAAAAAAAAAAGTGTTGTCAAATATGACATTAAAAAAGGAAATTAGAAATGTTAATAATAAGGTAAGTTAATTAGCTGCCTGAATAGGGTATTGCAAAAAATAAACAGCTAAGCACAGATGAAAACGGTTTTCCCTCCCACGCATTCTGGCATAATTGCATTTTTTAATTCCTGCATTTCGTCAGGTTTTTTGGATTTATTTTTCAGTAAAAGTATTTAACTTGTATTCATCCCAAGTCATTTTTGTGTGTGTATGTTTCCGTAAGTGTTTCTGTTTGCATGTGTATAGTCATAAATCCACACCCATATATCCTGCCTCACTTACAGGCTTCCTCTTTGCCCGTGAGCATCCTTTTATCCTGCAATCCAGAACTCTGATGGCAAATTTCACCCACACACTTGTCTGAACTTTAGCTGCCACCCTACAAAAAAAAACCCTGAACTATTTAAATGCCAGTGCTTAACACAAATATACAGTGCAATAGGCTGAATGAATCAATGTTTATTTTTATAATCTATATTTATTTTAAAAAAAGAGTAAAACAAAGCATATAATTTAATCTGCTTTACATAAATACATGACTCTTACAGATTTGGATGCTACTGTTGCTGATCCTGAGGTAATAGTGCAATACAAGCAGTTTCATAAATAATTCTTAGTTCAGGAGCCGTGGTGGCACAGTGGTTAGAATGCAGTACTGCAGAGTATTTCTGCTGACTGCCGGCTGCCAGCAATTCAGCAGTTCGAGTCTCACTGGCTCAAGGTTGACTCAGCCTTCCATCCTTCCGAGGTCTATAATATTAGGACCCAGATTGGGGGCAATATGCTGACCCTGTAAACCACTTAAAGAGGGCTGTAAAGCATTGAAAAGTGGTATATAAATCTAAGTGCTGTTGCTATTCACGATGAGCTTTCCAAAGAAGGCAAATAACTCAGCTACACAACATGAGCAAAGACATAGCAAAAGTTAATGAAGTGTTCATTGCAAACATCCGAGGAAGGGCAAGAGAAGGCATTATAATTTGTGTGCAATCACAGAGTCTCTTTCTAAGTTCAATAATGCATCTCTGCCACCTCTCCAGTGTGGCCACTGAAAGAAATAAGAAGGGTCACCATCAGAGAACTCAATTCCACTGGCGTGGAATAGCCAAAAGAAAAGGAGATTAAAGATCAAGGGTTTTCTTATGTACCTTGCCCTTCATCACTCCTTTCTTTCCTAGGTATCATGTCATTTTAGCGAAAGCATTGCTAACCATTTTTGGACAGGAGGCCATCCTTTGTTTTTATGCCCTACCTGTAGGTATAGAAGGCATGGCATATGACCTCAGCTGCATCAGTCAAACTTTTCCGGCCTCGTTTCAATTTGGATAAGTACAAAAGATTATAACGTAATTTGAGGGAGATATAGGATGTTTAAGGTGCTTACTTTGCCCCTATAGATTCCCTAAACACTACTTTCAAGGCTCTGAAAATTCTGCCCTACTACAGCACATTAAATGGGATGACAGGGAAGTATTTTTAAAAAGCAGCAGAGACCACTCCAGGAACTTGGTGTCTTTTAGAGTAGGGGTCTCCAACCCTGGCCACTTTAAGACTTACGGACTTCAACCCCCAGAATTCCTCAGCCAAATCTGAGAGTTGAAATCCACAAGTCTTAAAATGGCCAAGGTTGGAGACCCCTGTTTTAGAGTGAGCAAAATCATTTGCTTTAAACCATTCTGAGCATCGAATTTCACAAAATGTCTTATCTCAAGTGGCAAACATCACATTTCAAGCACTTTGAACACTTTCAAGCTCAAAAGAGAAGATTTCAAGCTTGGAACCGGTCGGCTTTGAGCTCAAGCCCAAATGCCAAAGCATTGCATGTTCCACTGAAATCAGAAGTTAAGTGCTGAAGCCAAGTCTTCCTTAAAATGCTGCACTTAAAACCCTTTTCAAAATGAAAACGTTTTGCACACCCCTAATATTATTAATATGCTCCCTATCTAGAAGTCATTTTGGAGTATCTCAGGTTAACATCATCGGCTTTGGCAATCTTCTGACAAGCAAAGTCAGCGAGGAAGCCAAATTCACTTAACAACTCTGTTACTTACTTAACAACTGCAATGATTCCATTAACAACTGGGGCAAGAAAAGTCATAAAATGGGGCAAACTTCACTTAGCAACAGAAATTTTGGACTCAACTGCATCGTAAGTCAGGGACTACCTTTACTTTAAATTAAAAAGATTGATAATTCCTGCTCTAGATTACAGCTTCTATCAGTCCTGTCCACTTCTCATGTTGGCCAAGGGACCACCATTTTCCTTTAAAAACAGGCAACTCAAGAGACCTTAGAAATGTTCTCTTCTCCCTCCCCTCCATTTTTGGGTAGTGAGCTATCTAGTAACTTAGGGATATTGCATCTCTCTCCATCTTTGGACTGGTTTTTCTTCTTCTCATATTGATGTGACGGGGAAAGAACTAACCTAAAAACGGAAAAAGATACTGCTCAGGATGGGTTCACCTTCTCTCTCTTGGGGGTTCCAACACTAGGAATGAGAAGAGGTTTGAGCCAATCTGGCTTCTCAACTTGGTCATGCAGAACTTAGGAAAAGCCACTGCATGTCAAGATTCTTTATCATAACCTGAATGACACAATCCTATGCAAAAAAAAAAAAAAAAAAACGGGTGTGTTATCTGGGGCCTGAACTGGAAGCAGGGGATAATTAACTGTTGGCAAGCAACACAGCATGCCAAGGGTTGGGCTTTGACAAGTTTGTCAAAAGGAGTGGAGTTTCCAGAAGGGTCTGAAGATACTAAACTGAACCGGAAAGATTCTGTTCTAGGCGACAATATTGAGTTAATTGTAATTCATGCAGGGTAAGTTTATACAAGTTCATAAAATGACTAAAAGTCGCGTAGAGATTTACAGGGAACGAGGAAAGTGATTGATTCTCTGACAAAACTCTTTGAAAAATGACAGATGTACATTTGCTGACCATCTCATTGGAACCAGGGGTTTTACAATGGCCACTGAAGACTGATTTTTGGAGCAGTCAGAGAAAGACGAGAAGCAGAAATCTTCACAGCAATATGACAGTGCCTTAAGGAAGTCATTGTGCAATTCAAAAAGGCAGTAAAAAAAAAACCACACAATTATTTCCTTGTACAGATACAGTGGAAATAAAGTTCACCAAAAGAGAACTTTGACCAGGACGAACCTCCAAGTCATGAGTCAGCAAATTCAGACCACACATTTGAAAGTTATGAGACAAAGTCCTTTTTGTTCACAATAGCAGATCTTTCAATATTTCACAAAGAGGATTATCCCATTTTATTAGGATGTGTTTAAAAAGAAAAGAACACGTAAATAAGAACCTTCAACTCACACAAGCAACTTGACATATAGGGCTGCTAGATTTAGCGGAAAAACGTATGCAGCATTAGAGATATTGGAATCATAGGGTAGAAGGAGATATAAGTGAGGCTCATAAATATGTAAATATATAATCACTTTGGACAGGACAAAGACATTTTGTTTCCTTTCGTTCTTCAGGATACAGGGATGGGCAGCAGCCACTTTTATCATAAGCCAAGAAACACAATTGAGGACCTGAGCATTCAGCATAGCAAAACAGGAGTAAGGGGACATAAACCTCCAATAAGGAAACTGACTGGATGACCTTGACAGCTGGTCACTCTCTCAACTTACCTGGCAAAAAGACAGGCATGAACAGAACCAAAAATGACCAGAGGCAGAAAAAGTGTTTTTAAAAATACAAATTTTTGCTACTGCTTCTTGATTCTCTGCGTGGGAGGGGGGGGGGGGGGGGGGGGGGGGGGGAAGAAGTGCTACCCATCTTCAGAATGGTGTGAAGGTCAGGAGAAAAAAAGAAATCATTATTTGGGTTCAAGGAAATCTTGGATAAGAACAAACAGGAATCATTAAAGCAAGGGCCTTCAAACTTGGCAAGTTTAAGACTTGTGGACTTCAACTCCCAGAATTCCTGAGCTAACATAACTGGAGGAGGAATTCTGGGAATTGAAGTCCACAAGTCTTAAAGCTGTCAAGTTTGAAGACCCCTGCATTAAACTTTAAGGACTGGGCTCTAGGCTCATATTTACCAAACCAGTTATTTACTGACTTTCAAAAGAAAAACAATCCTCTTGAACATAGTCATTTAAAAAAAAAAAAGAATTATGGGCAGTTAATGTTTACATAACAAGCGCTTTCCCCCAAGTGCATCGTGTACCCTTTTGCCTATTGTATAATAACATGGACAGCTCCTTACTTCAGCAGCTCCAAGGTTTTGTGATCCAGAACTAGTCTGGGGTTTCCAGTCAGGTCTAGTTCCTGCAGCTTTGGAGGCAAAGTTTCAGGCAATGTGACTTCAGTCAGCTCATTACAGCTCAGGTCCACACACTGAAAAACGAGGGGAGAGTTAATGTAAACAGGCCATGGGTCTTCAGAACACAGGTGGCTAATTGTTACATAGACTATCGTAAAAAAATCAAAGGTCCAACTATCACAAGAAACATTCACAGTAATAAACCAAGGTCTGCACTGTACCATTTCAGACCAGAGGTGGGTACACAGATAATGGAAGGCTCCACCACTCGGGAACTTCACTATTGAGAAAATTATTGCACAAATCAAGAATGTAAAATAAGCTTTATTCCTTAATATCCATTTCCGGTGGGTAAGTATTGTCATTTAGCAGAGGGAGCAACCCAATAAATATACAGCTGCAGTCTGAAGTGGCAGAGCCTTTTCCTGATGTTTAAGAGAATTAAGCCAACTTCCTCCTCCACCACCCTTAATTGAGCAAATTCTACAATGGTCTCAACAAAATACAAGATATGATTATTTAATATAAACATTCCTTGAAGTAATCCTCCTTTAATCTAACATGCTGTCATGAAATGTTAAAAATAAAGCAGACAGCAGCTGATATCCTAACTAATGTTCATGACTGTTTAACAGCTGTATTTTTTCTCCTTTCTTCTCTGTCTGATTTCTGAAAATCCTGAAAGGTTGCACACTATTTAATGACTCTGAATGAGCCTAATTTAATTCTATAACTTTTCTAAACTTTATGCTTCATTAAATAACCTCCATGTTTGTTGCATAATGAATAATGATTTGTCTACTGTCTGTGTTAAGAGGGTAATTATTATCCTTAAGCGAATGGAGCACATCAGTGTTAAGTGAGTTTTAATTAAAAGTAATTTTATAAATACATAGATTAGAAGCCAATTGCGGAAAGGGACTGTCATAATTCTGACAGAGCTGTTATTATTCACCACCAGCCTTTAATACAGAGCCATATTGTGAATTTAAAGGTGCATTTAAAATCCGTTTCAAAATGTAGGCTGCACTGAAAACCAAACAAAATTTTAAGATGTCACAAAAGAACAGATAATGCATGCCAATGTACTAGAATACTGCTGAAGACATTAAAATATCTAGTTGGGTATAATATTGGAAGTACAGTGATAGGCAGAAAGGAAAGAAGACAGTGATTAGTAATAGTAGCAATTATCCAAAGTTTTTAAATTACTTGTTTTAAACAACAGAGAATTTCACTTAATTTTAATTTATGCATTGTGTTCAGGTAACAGGGCAATTGTTCTCCAGAAAAAAATGGAAAAGCAAAGAACTGGAAACACAATTTGGAAAGATAACAGCATGAATACCACTGTCAACCTAGCAAAGTTTTTTTAAATAAAAAAAATCTTGGGATGGTACAGAGTGTGATGTACAAGAAGCCTTTTTTTCAACCCCAGAAATGTATGATTTGGTTATAGAAATGCATCAGACAACTAATGCAATCTCACACGGCTAACTCAGAGCAAAAGGTTGCCTTGACATCTTAAGGAAGTTGGAATAATTATATTGCTACCTAAAGCGTTGATGTGAGATATCTCACTTTACAAAAACTTTCAGTATTTATGTTGTTGTCTCCTTCTGCTTCTTTCTCTGTGTCACACTGCTCCAGTTACAATACCAATATTTCAAATATTTATCAGGGCTCTGAACTCTTCCAGGAACCATCTTTCTCTTTGAATGGAAAACATGGGATTTTCTATACAACATGAACAGAATGTAACTTCATCACACCAGGCTCAAGGTTGACTCAGCCTTCCATCCCTCTGAGATCGGTAAAATGAGGACCTAGATTGTTGAGGGGCAACATGCTGACTCTGTAAACCTCTTAGAGAGGGCTGTAAAGCATTGTGAAGTGGTATATAAATCTAAATACTATTGCTATTTAAATACATGAGACATCCATGAAAAATGCTACCCTAATTGGAGGTATGTAAAAACAAAAGCTCTATCTACACAATGGATGATTACCTCCAAGCAACTAAACGTAGCTTTATTCTTATGAAATCCCTACCTTGATTTCGCCAAGCTGCATGACTTCTGGAAAGACTTCGATGCAATTGGAGTGTGCAATTACAGTATGCATGCGGCGACAATTCATGATCGTTGTTGGAATGGATTTTAGCTTATTGCCACTAACGTCAATTTCTTCCAACTCTTCGAGTTTGGCCATTTTACTACACAAAAAGGAAAGAGAAAGATTTTGAGCATAAAAACTAAAGTATTCAGGGGTGTCAAACTTGATTCATGGAGGGCTGCATCAGGGTTGTGTTTGACCTTGGAGGGCTGGGGGGGCCATGGCCATGGTGGGTGTGGTCAGGTTTAAGCATAGCCATGGTGGGCATGAACTGGGACTCATGTCGGGGGCACTTGTGGTGGCCAAGTGCTAAGGCAGGACTTCCTTGAGATCCCCCCTTCTCTCTCTCTCCCTCCCTCCCTCCCTCCCTCCTTCCTTCCTTCTGACACTTGGCAAATGACTCATATTTATGATGGTTGCCGTTTTCCAGGATCAAGTGATTGTCATTGTGACCTTCTGATAAGCAAAGTCAATGGGGAAGCCAGATTCACTTAATGTCCAGGTTACTAACTTAACAACTGCAGCAATTGACTTAAGAACTGTGGCAAGAAAGGTTGTAAAATAGGGGCAAATTTACTTAGCAAATGTTTCACTTAGAAACCTAAATTTTAGGCTCAATTGTGGTCGTAAGTTGAGGTCTACCAGTATCCTGAAGCCTTTCCATGCTTGGCTTGTTCAAAATAATATGTGACAATTGATATGTCCATTGCAGAAAACAGCAAATTTCTTCATAGTTGGTAATAGCCCTGGAGATAAGGAAGGGCTCATTGGTTGATTTCTATTTCTTTCTTAAATGCTTCGTTGGAAAAATTACAGTCACTCATCTCAAAATGAGAGTAATAATGATCTTAAGGTTCATGGTTTCTAGCCAGAGGTTCTACCATTCCTAAAGCTGAAAAGAATTTAGGAAATTAGACAGAACTGGTTTCAGAGGTAAAGGAATGTACCAGGATACCAGTTTAGTACAGTATTCTTGGAAATGTCTCCAATCTGTTCCCTTCAATATTACTTTTTCCTGATTTTGATCGCCTTCTGTTTTCCTGCAAATTCTGCATACCGGCTCTAATGTGACCCTTTTGAATGACAGAGAACAAGCCTGCTCTACTGCCTCTATATTTTAAAATGGTATTATTTGCAAACCTAAAAAAGGAAAAATGGCCATTTGTATGAATATTTATAATTAGACAAATCAATTAATGTGGAAGTTCATAACATGCTTCAGAATATTTCAGATTTTTATATTTTAAGAAGTGGCAGTGGAAAAATATGGAAGAGCAAACATATACAACTATATAAGCAGATAATATATCTAAGTAGTCTTCCATGTGAGACTCCTGAAAACACAACTTATATATTTTTAAAAATATAAGTAGAGTAATTCTTCACTGTATAACAATGGAGAATGAGGGTTCTCCCATCCCTGTGATAGTAACTTTTTTACAATTATAATCTTGGTCCTCTGGTTACTTTTCTTATCATTAGTCTTCTAAAATAATTGGATTCCAAAGCCATTCAATTTTTAAGACATGCCGAATATGCTAATTCTAAGGTAGCTCATAAAACAAAGTTCCCAACAGACAAACCTGACATTCATTGATCCTAAACAAAAGATATGCCTTGTTATTTAAACTTAAATCTGGAAGATTATATTAATTCACAATTGGGGCTTCCTGAGTGAAAGATGAGAAGCAAATTTCTCCAAATAAACTCCAAAACTATGTTCAATTTCCAAAGACATTTTACAAATATATAAATATAGATTATTTTCTGTGACAAAATCTTTTTTAAATGCATACTAATTTTACACTATAAACTTAAACTGAGTTCAGCTCATATATCCAAACAACTGCTATTTCTGCCAATGAATAAACAAAATTTGAATTCAGCCTGATCTTCTTGAAATACACTGCAAGACATTTTCAATACAAGTTATAATCCATCAGAACTCTTTTAAGTTATGCTTCTTCATATAATCGCACATGGTTTATAAATGATGGCTATCCTCATCCATAGTTTGTTTAGCATGTCATTCAAAGACGGATGAAAGAAGCAACATAATGAGACTCTGGTATGCTGCTCGCTTGGTAGTAAGTCCACACTGGGTCAGTACTATATCTACTCAAAAAGAAGCTACCATTTAGTGAAATATCTAACAACCTTTAAATAACCATATAAATGGCTCAAAACATATTTGATTAAGAAGAGATTTAGTACTACCATGCTTTTTTACCTTGCGGGAAAGCTTTGTAAGCGATTGTAAGCCATATGTAGTATCTTCAGGTGAGGATGACCGGTTAACAAGGGGACACTTTTATCTGTGAGGTGATTGTTGGTCAAATACAGTTCTTGTAAAATACTATGGGTCTCCTCTGAAAGAGTAGCTGGAGGTAACATTTCCAGTTTGTTGGCAGAAGCATTCAAGTACCTTAAGCTGCAAAAAATTATTAGGGATAACTTTAGGTATACATTTTCAATAACCTTTTTAATGTTTTAGTAGCACTATTGCTGGAAATTTGTTTAGAATTGCTCAACCTTTTT